TTTGTATAACTCTTTTGCTTTCGGACGCATTCTCTGCTTTGCATCTATGTACGGTACTTTAATCCCTCATTCCTTCATTTCCTAGTTTTTAACGCTAAAAAAATCGCCAAATAATCGCCCCCGCGATTCCCAGAAGACTCTTCTTGGGGATTTTCGTAAATTAGTCGTCCAGCAATCGCCAAAGCGACTCGCAGACGACTCTTTTTGGGGATTTTCGTAAATAAGTCATTCAACAATCGCCACCGCGATTCCCAGAAGACTCTTCTTCGGGATTCTCGAAAATTATTTCACCAATGATCGCCACCGCGACTCGCAGAAGACTCTTCTTGGCGATTTTTGTAAATAAGTCCTCCAACAATCGCCACCGCGACTCCCAGAAGACTCTTTCTGGCGACCGGCGATTCTAGAATCGCCAAATGGTTGGCAGGGTTTACGCTTATGAATTATTGACGTAAATATTGAATGTGTATTTATGCGGTATTTTCTCTTTTTAAATATTCCAACTTCAACAAACTGATGATGAGCTCGCCTGGCCATCCATTGTTTGTGGGATGTTGACAAATTGCTTGCATTTATTATATCACTTAAAGTACAAATGTATATATTTATATGGAGAATCCGTTATATTAATTTAAACTTTATTGTGTGATAGAAATGCTCGTCGTTGGCCTCTGATGATTGATCCACAGGGACAGGCAAACAAATGGATCAAAAACTATGAGAAGAACAACAAACTCTGCGTGATTCGTCTTAATCAGGCCGATTATACGCGCGTCATGGAGAATGCCATTCAATTTGGCCTGCCCGTTCTGTTGGAGAACATTGGTGAGGAGCTGGATCCGATTTTGGAGTCTGTGCTGCTGAAGCAGCTATTTAAACAGGGCGGAGCTCTCTGCATTAAACTGGGTGACTCTGTCATAGAGTATAATCATAGCTTTAGGTGAGGTGAGGTAATAAAATAAGTAGCATTCACTCAAAGTTTAATTACAGATTTTACATGACAACTAAATTGCGAAATCCGCACTATCTGCCCGATGTGGCAGTCAAGGTAACCTTGTTGAATTTCATGATCACCACTCAGGGCTTGCAGGATCAATTGCTGGGCATAACGGTGGCTCGAGAACGTCCCGATTTGGAAGCGGAAAAGAACAATTTGATTGTCCAGGGTGCGGAGAATAAACGGATGCTTAAAGAGACTGAAGATCAGATATTGGAAGTTTTGTCATCCGCTGAAAATATCCTAGAGGATGAGACGGCAGTCCAGATATTGAGTTCGGCCAAGGCTTTGGCCAATGACATCAATGAGAAGCAGGTCATCACGGAAGCCACCGAAAAGCAGATAGATATCGCACGATTGAGTTATGTTCCTATAGCGGAGCACTCCACCATATTGTTCTTTACTATAGGTAAGGGATTTCCATTAAGTTTGAAATCAATTGAATCAATTGATTACTGTTACTACATGTTAACTCTTTTCCCTTAGTGGAGCTGGCCAACATCGATCCCATGTACCAGTACAGCCTGGTTTGGTTTGTCAACCTGTATATGTCATCCATTGATAACACGGAAAAGGTGGACGACATTGCGGCCCGCTTGTTGGACCTGAGGAATCATTTTACCTTCAGCCTGTACGTCAACATCTGTCGGAGCCTCTTCGAGCGTGTGAGTGCCCATTGAGTAAACCAAATTATAGTCAAACGCCGGTTCGCTGGTCAGTATGCGAGGCCCTTTGGCCTCGTTAGTACCGTAATTGCGCATAATCTGATAATGTGACATTTGAAGCGTGCTCTGCTCCTTTTGCGTTTCATTTGCTTTGTGGCTGAGCATCAAGCTTGCAGCTTGACTGGACTCGACTCCTCTCGACGTCTTTTAAATAATTTTTCAGTATTTTCGCTTTTACTTCACTTCCACTATTGAAGCGGTTGATGCGCCTCTTAACGAAAATCCACTGTGGAAATCGAGGAACTTTTAAGCAATGTCTTTGGCATTTTCAAAAAGCTCAGGCAGCTTTAACTATTTTCACTGTTAACAAGCTTGTTTTTTTTATTCATTTTCACTTGAATAATAACCCTTTAGCATGTCCTTTTCAATTTCCATCACTGATTAGATTATCTCCATTTTTTATTTCTCTGTACAGCTCGAATTATATTACGTTGCGGGTGCAATCAAAGGATGTACCTAGCTAGTGGAAAAAGAGGAAATAATAATCCAAAGTTGCCTTTATGCTATTTTCAGTCAATTATGCCCTGTCCGTCCACCGTCCGCTCCTCATCTTTGCCCTGAAATAAGCTAACCTTTGATCCCTGACGTTTAATTTTCTTGTGTGCAACAGAAATAAAAAGGAAAACTCGAGTGAATTGCTATCAGAACAGTAACATCGTCGCCTGTTCGTGGAAATGCTTTTGATTTCAGTTGGACAACCTTTCGTTGGAACCCATTTAATGCGAAAATGAGCCTCTGAGTCCTGACCCTTAATCTGGCCCCAATTCACATCCCATCACATTTGATTCCGATGTGCGATGATGCACTAAGAGAAATAGAACAGGACATATCTTCAGAAAGTATTTTTTGGAGAGATTTTTTATTTTTATAAATCATTTATTATTTCCCTTTTCCCTTTCCCTTTTCCCTTCGATATGCACTGTATATTAAATAATATCCATTTTTCTCACATATATATCAGAGCTAAAAAATCGATTTATATATCGTCATATTTAAATTGTGAAACTCTAGATGTATTATTTATCGTCCAAGCATTTCTTACTTTTGTTGAACTTACTGCCTTGGTAATTCTAGAATATTCAGGAGATAATTACATTATTGAAAATAATTTAATTAAGTTTACTTTGAGTGTAATGAAATGTTTTGACCTTTGAACACAGGATAAGTTGCTGTTTTCGCTCATATTGAACATCAACCTGATGAAGCATGAAAATCTGATTGACAACGCCGAATGGATGTTCCTGTTGACGGGAGGCATTGGTCTGGAGAATCCGTACAAGAATCCCACCAGCTGGCTGGGTGTCCAGAATTGGGACGAGCTCTGTCGTCTCAACAATTTGCCTAATTTCAAGGGCTTACGCGAGGACATAGGTGACAATCCTGCCCAGTGGAAGACATACTTTGATTCGCGGACACCGCATGATAATAACGATATACCTAGCACTTGGAAGAAACGACTTTCCGTATTCCAGAAGCTGCTGCTTCTCCGTGTATTCCGGCCTGATAAGCTGGTGCCGGCTGTGCTCAATTTTGTTTCCGGCGAGCTGGGTGCTCGGTTTGTTGATCCGCCGCAATTCGATTTGATGGCCTCGTTCGCCGACTCTCACTGCTGTGTTCCGTTGATATTTATCCTGACACCTGGCTCGGATCCCACGGCTACGCTCTTGAAGTTCGCCGAGGATCAGGGCTTTGGCACGAATCGATTATTCTCGCTATCGTTGGGTCAGGGCCAGGGCCCCATTGCCATGAAAATGATCGACGAGGGTGTCAAGCTGGGAAACTGGGTGGTGCTTCAGAATTGCCATTTGGCGGCCAGCTTTATGCCATCCCTGGAGAAGGTCTGTGAGAACCTCTTGCCGGACTCCACGCATCCAGACTTTCGGCTGTGGCTCACCTCCTATCCGGCGGAGCATTTCCCGGTTGTGGTGCTGCAGAACGGCATCAAAATGACCAACGAACCGCCCAAGGGTCTGCGCTCCAACATTCTCCGCTCGATGATCAGCGATCCGATCAGTGATCCCGAGTGGTACGAGTCCTGCACTCAGCCCCGGATTTTCAAGCAGCTCATCTACTCGCTGTGCTTCTTCCATGCGGTCATCCAGGAGAGGCGTTACTTTGGCCCAATCGGCTGGAATATTCCTTACGAGTTCAACGAAACCGATCTCCGTATATCCCTGATGCAGCTAAGGATGTTCCTCAACCAATACGAGACTGTGAACTACGATGCCTTGCGGTACTTGACGGGCGAATGCAACTACGGTGGACGAGTGACGGACGACTGGGATCGACGGACGTTAAAAACTATTCTCAATCAGTATTATTGCCCGGAAATTATCGACCTTGAGAAGCCGCACTTCCTCGATGACTCCGGTCTGTACTATGTGCCTGTGTTCAAGGAAGTGGAGCTGTATCTGAACTACACAAAAGAGCTGCCGCAGATCTCGTCGCCGGCAATCTTTGGCTTCCATGCCAATGCGGATATTATGAGGGATCAAAAGGAAACGGACATGTTGCTCTCTCACACTCTGCTTACACAGGTGAGTACTATGTAGGTTAATGGTTACTTAAGCCTGCTTTACACTTTACAATTTAAATTTCAAAAAATTGTAAGACTTAAACATTACTGCATATATTTATTGCTCCTACATTTACTTGCTTGCCATAACAGGATCGTTGGGTAAGGGAATTGTTTAGCTCCTAAGTCAATACATTTATTAATTATTACGCTTTTTCTCACACTTAAAAAAGGACCTCTATGATCGACGCGTAAGTGCCGGCTAATCATATCTTGAAATCCCACAAAGCTTCATACATTTATATTCTTATAATTCTCCAATTTAATACACGCTGCTCTTAAGAAATTGGAAAAAACCCAAAGGGTCTATGTAGAAACGCTCAGTAGACGCTTTCCCGAAAACCTTTTCCTTCCCACTTACCCTACCTGTCCCCCCTTCCTTGCTATGTACCAAATCCCTCTGAAGGATACGAGCGCCACGTCCGATGATAGCGGCGGTGCCAAGGCCCTGACTCCCGAGGAGGTGGTGACCAATGTGGCAACCGATATCCTAGACAAGCTGCCCAAGCTTTTTGATCGGGACGCGGCCCTGCTCAAGTATCCCACTTTGTACCATCAGAGCATGAACACGGTCCTGGTGCAGGAAATGGTGCGCTTTAATGTCCTGCTCAACACGATCCGAACCAGTCTGATCACGTTGCGAAAAGGAATCAAGGGTAAGTCATTGTTTTAACTTGTTTAATCACTTATACTAAGATATTTCAGATGAAACATATTTATATAATTTACATGGCACTGATTTTTGGGGTGATATTGTGCCTTCATTACAAAAAAAATCTATCGAGATTTTTCCTCTTCATGATGTCAATTTTTAAAACAATTTAATTTGTACATCAATACATATACTGATATTGATTCAATATTGAGATGCGTGAGATTGATGGTGCTTCTTATTTGCCAAATCTATCGTTTTGGGTCTTTAAAAGCTTTTAAAACCATGGACCCATCACGTTTATAGTCTCGGTTAGGATCAGAAATTGAATAGTCTTGCGTGCTGGTTTCATAGCCCAATGATTCCGATTCTATCGGTGTTGAGGCAGACGGATGTATCTGAAAAGCTGAGGTGCTTGTGGTAAATGGTTTGGGCCCAGTCATTTTTGATGGTTTCTGTAACGCGTCATTTGAATTTAAAACTACATGTGAATCAGAAGCTTGCACATCTTCTGCATCTCCTCCTGTACTTGGCCTAGACAGTTTTAAGATGGGTGATGGTTCCTGCATCGCGTCATGTGAATTTGAAACAGCTTGTGAATCAGAAGCTGGCACATCTTCTTCATCTCCTCCTGTACCTGGCCTGGACAATTTTGAGATGGTTGATGATTCTTGCATCGCGTCAGGTGAAGTTGAAATCGCTTCTAAATCAGAAGCCAGTAAATCTTCTGCATCTTCTCCTATATCAATTAATAGACTATTTATGAAATCAGCACTTGATGTTTGCATGGGTACACCATCCGTATCTTTCTCGCTAGCGGACTTCTTTTCCCGGCCCGATGGCAGCATCACTCGATAGCCTCTACCCTTGAGCGACTTCAAATCGCTATGTTTGCTTAAACAAAGGCTGCTTCTCATGCTAAATATATCTTCTTCTACAGATTTTTTCTTCTTCCACGGACTTAACGTAATTGATTTTAAGAAGAAGTCTGAATCGTTTACCTGCTCATCACCCCTGTACACGTCCAGGTTTTCCAACAGCCGTGTGACATTGTCAAATTTAAATTTCCTTAATAAGGACAAAATATTCATGGAAATAAATTCAGATTCTCGTCCCGATGAGGCCTTTTGTTTTGACGACTGCGATTCCTCGCGTTCCCAAATATCGTCAGACATTTTAATGACATTATGCGATACGGTCGGATGTAGGGCAACCAAATCGCTGGGACGGATCGGCGGAGGATTGAAAATGTTGGCGAATACATCATCGAAGAGATCGTTGTAGGTTTCTGCCACAATCCTTTCAGTTTCCTCTTTCCAGCGATTTCCGGGAACTGCCTGTCTAATGAGCTTTCGTATAATGGCATTGGCCTCGTGCCAGGAAGGTCTATGCGGTCCTTCGCTTTCGCTGTCCGAGGAGAGTAGATAGAGATCGTCGTCGATAAGGCGGCTGATCAGATCGCTGGTCATTGTGGTGGCTATGTCAAACGGATCCAGTGTAGTCCACATTTTTGGAAAGATCACATCCTCGACTATATGCCGTGCAACTAAGACGCTTTCGTGGCGCTTCAGGGCCGCTTCCAAATCGGGAGAAACGATGCCGGCAAGTAAATGTCGCAGAAGCTCAAATGTGAGGGGGTTCTGGATCAGCTTGAAGCTCTCCAGCCAGCGCTTAATATCCGCATCAATTTGCTTTGCCATTTCCGTAACAGACGCAGCAGCCTCACCCTCTACGAGATTGTACATATCCTTGCGAAGAATCTGGCCGATATACTCATTCGAAACATTATTGTTGACTATGTTGGACTGCTGGAACAGCTCCTCGTACATCATCCTCAACTCGTTCTCCTTTTGCCTCAATCCCGCCTCGGCTGCCTCACGGCGCCAGCGCTCCTTCTGGGCTAAAATCGTAAAGAAGTGAAGCTTGCGCTGTTCGGAAAGGCGGGTCATCTCCTCCGAGAGGAACTGCATGACCCAGCCGATGTAGGAGCCCTCGTATACGTTCAGCATAGCCTCCATTTCCTGAAGCTTGCCTTCGACTTTCAACAGATTGAGCATATAGCTCGGTGCTATACTGTCGTAACCTGGAGGTTTTTTCATCTCCTCTCTCACTTGTTCGTGCTTCTTTTCGGTGTAATTACCGAAATCGTATAGGTCAGTGAGATAGGTAGTGACCCCATCCCAACTGGTTCTTTCATCTAATAGCACCCTTCGTTTTCTCAGGCACTTCGGTTCCTCCTTCTCCTTGGTGACCTGGGATCTGAGCGCTTTCAGGCTCTCGAAGAGCTTCTGTAAATTGGCTTCATTGCAGAAGTTCTGCTCATACTCCCGGACATACTCCTTGGGTTTAGACAAGTCCTTAAGCTTTCTGAAGGGACATTTCAGATTGCGCATGTTCACTCGCTTCTCCAGGTCGTCGATCCTCATGTCAAATGCTTTGCGTCCGGTTACCGTCTCAAAGTTTCGACGTGCAGGATCGACGCCGTGCCTCATCATAGGACCATAGAACTCGGAGCACGAGGACCCCAGAGCCTGCATGGGAGTCTGCTTAACCCACTTCCGCGGGGTCTTGGTGACTTGGAGCTCTAGACGTCGCATTCCCCGCTGGAATTCGATCTCGTTTTTGCGCAACCCCGCCTGGCGGCGCTGCTCGATGCGCTCGCAGGCACTCTCAATCCGCGACTTGGAGGCGGCGTGCATTTCCCTCTCTCGCTTGTCAAACATCTTGATCACAATGTTCAGTCGCATCATCTGACACTCCTGAATGTACTCCTCCCGCTCGATCCACTGTTCCCACTCAAATGCCTCCAGAATCGCCTTGTATTTGGTGGTCATAGCTAATTTCCTCGCCCTATTATTCATCCTTTTGTAGTGTATCTTAAGCGCGTTACTGAAGGACCATCGCTTCCTGGCACGATCCAAGATCTCAACTTCGTGAAGTCCAGGTGGTTGATCACCGCACAATACAGTGGGAAGGGAAAACAGCTCCAGGGTCTCTGCTACTTCTGCATCTGAAACCTCTGGCAAATAGGGCAGGGTCTGTGCAGAGGACTCCCTAAGGGGTAAGATTGATAAGTAAGCATAAGTTTAAAAAACAAAATGTCTGACTTTTTTACCTGTAAAGCGTCTGGGTGTTTTGATCCTTGAAGGGTTTTGGGTCAACATATTTCGGAAAGAAATCGCATTTATTTTTCAATTCCTTTTTCATTACGATGCTGGCACTCATCTTAATCTCGTGGGTGTTGACCGTTGTGTCCTGTTCCCTAAGAAACGCAAATCCGGGGGCATTGAACTGACACTCGCTGTCAGTGCGAGGCAGCCTTCCCACATTGCGCTCCGCTGGATTGTTGGCTCCTGTGTATATTTTGAATGTTATATATGTATTTGATTTGTTTTTTCTTAAGGACGTACCGCCAGGCATGCGTCCGGGAGTCCTGGATATCAAGCATGATGGTAGCTGTTTTTGTCCAAGCTTCCTTTCGTCCTTGTTTTGCCACTTGGTGAACGAGACACGTTTGTTGCTGTTTAGGCCTACAGGAGGTTGCAGAAAAATCGAGTTGTTCACGGGCCCTGCTTTATTTTCCTCATCTATTTTTGGTAGCTTGTACAGTGGCATTATGTAATTATGTGGGCGTAGCTATTATGAATGTAATTATGTGGATGTAATAGTGAATGTAATGTATGAATGTAATTTTGTGACTGTGTTATTTTTTGTATTTTTGTGAGTTTTGTTTTGTGTTTCAGTGGAAGTGCATTTACTATTGAACACTCATGACATAATTAATTATTTTTGTAGTTTAGCTAGGCTACTTTGATGAGTTTATTAAATTGTAAAGACTGTGCTATACTGTAGGTATTTTTTTAAAAAAATTAATATACCAAACAGATATATTAATATATCGAATACTGAATAATTCATAAGATGCGTAATTGTGATATTTTGGTCTTTGCCATGACTTTATACTACCATATATTTACATATACTATATACTAAATAGACTTATATTACTATTACCGAAACTTATCCATCCACAGGATTGGTTGTAATGTCTGCCGCTGTGGAAGCCGTATACAAGTCTGTGCTAATAGCCAAGATACCTGCCATGTGGGCCGGCAAATCATATCCCAGTCTAAAGCCTTTGGGCAGCTATATTACCGATTTTCTTCGACGCTTAGAGTTTTTACAGGTGAGCCAAATGCAGTGTTAGATTAAAGAACTTTGACATATTAATATCATTACAGAATTGGTTTGATCACGGAGCTCCCTCGACCTTCTGGCTATCCGGTTTCTTCTTTACGCAAGCCTTCCTCACGGGAGCCCAGCAGAATTACGCTAGGAAGTATGTCATATCTATTGATTTGCTAGCCTTCGACTACGAGGTCCTGCAGCTGGAGGAGAACCAAATGAAGGGCGTGAATGCACCGGAGGATGGGGTTTACGTGTACGGCATCTTTCTGGAGGGCGCTCGTTGGGATCGGACTGGCAAGTATCTGGCCGAGTCCCGTCCCAGGGAACTGTTCGATACGATGCCGTTGATATGGCTAAAGCCACTCAAGCGGGTTGATCTGCCCGAGCGTCATAATTACCTGTGTCCCATGTACAAGACAGCCGAGAGACGCGGCGTCCTGTCCACCACTGGACACAGTACCAACTTTGTGGTGGCCATGCTGCTGTTGTGCAATCCCAAGACTCCGACCTCCCATTGGATTATTCGCGGCACGGCTCTGCTGTGTCAGCTGAGTTTCTAATTGAATTGTGACATTACACGACTGATAGATTTGAGTGTATTTTATAAAAATTATTGCGAGGCTAAAATAAACGTAAAGTCTGGACAAAAAAGGAAATCAAGTAGAATCTTCTTAGGATATTTATTTAGTTTTTTTTTTTTCGGTACTCCAAGGTAATGAGAATGGCGTGTTGAAAATATCTAGATCAATTATCGAAAACTAAAGATCGTGGATTCGTGTTTTGCATAGATATAAATCTCTTCACCCCCCGAAGACTCTTCGCCAAGGGAATTTGGAGATTTCTTGGCTACCAAGATATTTTCTTCAGTTTCTTGTTCCACCATATTTGTGGATTCTGACGATTCTTCGTTAACTGCTTCTTCGTATTGAATTTCGGTAACAGATTCAACCGGTTTAGGGGGCGAGTTTTGGGAAGAGCCTTTCAGACTTTTTAGATTCTCACTATGTTCCAAAATATCTACGACACTTGTAATGCTACATATGTCCGTATCGGGCTGGTTCATTCGAGTGTCCGTTTTGAGCAAAGTTTGGCTTTTAATAAGAGTATCTAAAATATCGGAGTTTCCTGAATCAACGTTTACCTCATCGGTTTCCAGCACCTTGGTAACCTTGTCTTCTTTAAACTTTTTAACCAAGCTTAGTAATTGGGCTCCCAAAAACTTGTTATCTGGTATTGAGTCTTGGGATACCGTTGTCCTTATCTTTGGCTTGTGGTGGCAAACCCTAAACATGGCAGTACTAGGAGACACCACGATGAGATCGGAGGGGTTGACAGCCGGCGGATGCTCGATGTTGACCAATATCTCGTCGAATATGTCGTCAAACAGACCGTTATAGGTTTCGGTCACAATCCTTTCTGTTTCCTCCATCCAGCGTCTGCCGGGCACCGCCTGTCGAATTAGCTTTCGTATGATGGCCTCGGCCTCGTGCCAGGAGCCCACCGAGCTGTCGCTATCGAATTCACTCTCCGAGGAAAAGAGGTACAGATCATTGTCTATGAGGCGATCGATCAAATCGCTGGTCATGGTAGAGACTACGTCGAACGGCTCGAGTTTCTTCCACACTGTCCCGAAGATCACATCTTCCACTATGTACTGGGCAATCAGATGATTTTCGTGGGTCTTAACCGCTGCCTCCATATCCGGAAAAACCATCTTCAGCAACATCATTCGCAGGGGAACAAAGGTTAGGGGGTTCTGGACCTCCTTAAAGCTTTCCAGCCACTTGCTTATATCATTATCAATTTGCCTTGCCATCTCGGTGACTGTGTCCGCAGCTTCATTCGCCATTACCTCATATATGTCCTTCGTCAACACGGTATCGACAAACTGCTGCGAGGTATCCTGAAGCCCGGAATAGGAATGCTGGAATATCTCCTCATACAATAATCGCATGACGTTCTCCTTTTGCCTCATTCCCGCCTCGCTTGCCTCCCGCCTCCAGCGTTCCCTTTGAGCCACAATGGAGAAGAAGTGAAGCTTGCGCTGCTCCTTGAATCTGTCCATTTCGTCGGCAAGGAATTGCATAAGCGAGCCAATATATGTTCCTTCATAGGTGCGAATTAAATTCTCCAGATCCTCGTGTCCTCTTGAGCTCGACTTCACCGCTGTAAGCGTTGCACGCTTGGGCCTTGGGGGGCGGTGAACATATTTCGGAGCTGTCATTTCAGAGTAGCGAGAGTAGCGAGAGTACTTCCTATGGTCATATATCTCGCTCGAAGAGCTGCCCCAGCGATTCAATTGTATTCGTTTTCTTCGGCACTGTGGATGTGCCTTGACATCCGCCTGCGTCCTAAGGGTTTTTAGGGACTCATAGAGCCTCTGCAGATTGTCGTCGTTGCAGAAGTTTTGCTCGTACTCCCTGACGTACTCCTTGGGCTTGGACCACTCCTTAAGCTTGCTGAATGGACACTGCACATTCTTCATGCTCACTCGCTTCTCCAGGTCATCGATCCTTAAGTCAAATGCCCGTCGTCCGGTTATCGTCTCAAAGTTTCGACGTGCGGGATCGACGCCGTGCCTTATCACAGGACCGTAGAACTCGGAGCACGGAGATCCAAGAGCTTGCATGGGGCCCTGCTTCTTCCACTTCAGCAACCTGTTGGATAGCTTGGCATCCAAGCGTCGCATTCCTCGCTGGAACTCAATCTCGTTCTTGTGCAGACCCGCCTGACGCCGTTTCTCGATTCCCTTGCAGGCCTGTTCGATTCTAATCTTGGAAGCGGCGTGCATTTCCTTCTCTCGCTTGTCGAACATCTTGATTACGATCTGGAGCCGCATCATCTGACACTCCTGTATGAACTCCTCACGCTCGATCCACTGCTCCCATTCAAAGGCCTCCAGTAAGTCCCGTAGTTCTGGTTTTAAGGCGACACTCCTGGCCGCTTTGATGAGCCTCTTTGAGTTTGTCTTAATGGCCTCATTGAAGAGCCACCGCCTCCTGGCACGTTCCAAAATCTCAACTTCATGCAGTCCTGGCGGCTTTTCGCCGGGAAGTATCTTGGCTAGAGAGAAGAGCTCGAGGGTTTCCGCATTTTCTTTATTGCTTATCTCCGGTAAATAGGCCAATGTCTGAGCAGAGGATTCCCTGGAAATAAGGGATTATATGGAGGACCATCTTCCTCGAAATTTGTTTGGTCATACCTATATAGTGTTTGTGTGGTCTGGTCCTTGAAGGGTCGATTGTCCATGTATTTGGGAAAGAAATCGCACTTGTGTTTCAACTCCTTTCGGATGGGCTCTGCGGAATTTAGCCTGACCTCTTGAGTAGCAAATTCCGAGTGTCGAGTTTTAAGAAAGTTGAAACCCGGCGCGTTAAAATGGCATTCACTGTCTGTTCGCGGCAGTTTCCCAACATTGCGGACGGCAGGATCGTTTTCGCCTAAGAATTAATTTTAAAATTATTTTAGTAGACACTCCGAAAGTTACAAATTTGCATATGGACCTACCCCCAGTCATTCGGACACCGGATGACCTCCTGTTGGAACATAAAGTGCGTGGGCTATCGCTGCCTCTGTGGGACAGCTTCCTTTCAACACGCTCAACTGAAATATTACCACTTACAAATAAAACATATTTTGAGGACCTGAAGATGTGTAATAGGACTCACCGCCCGCTGGCATTCTGGTATCTGAGGATTTGGTGATCAAACACGAAGTTAGGCCCTGTCCAATGAGCCTCTCATTTTCGTTAACCTTTAACGCATCTCCAAGACTGAGCCGCTGGCTTCCATGGTTAAATGTCACGCGTTTCTTCTGTCTTGAAGATTTTTCATCTTTGGTTTGCACCTCAGGTGGCGTGGCTTGTTTATTTTCGCGAATAAACTGAAGTATTCGCTCCCTGCGGAAAGTCTTCTCCTTGGACGATAGCATTTGTAAGTTATTTTTGTTTAATTGTCGGTATACGAGACTTGAGTATTTTGTTGTGGGTGTATTTTAGGTTTTTTTTTTAAGGTGATTTATAAATTTTCTGTTGTTATATAAGTGGCTTACTGGGTTATCAGAGCTAAGCTTTCTTACTGCCATTCCCGCTCAAGGTATTTTAGGTTGTGTGAAGCATTAGGTTAGTAGTCAGGAATTTCCCCTCGCCAGGCAACCGACCCGCTGCTAGGGAGCACTCAACTTGTTTGTTGGGCCAATCGATGAGACTCGAACCCCCTAGAGGAGCTGCTATTACATTTTTAGTCCACACGCAATGAGCGTGTTAAATATACATATAATGACTCTCAATATCATGCAGGAATACGAAAAATTCTGCCATGCAACAATAACAGCAACAATGATCACAAATTGTAAAAACTGGCTAACATATAAATTAAAGGATTTAAAATATAAATAATTAAATTTATTCAAAATATACAGGTAGTAAATGTGTATAAAATGGCCAAGTCAGTCACGGCTTGACGGCGATAAAGGGAGAATTAAGCTGGTCAGAGAAGGAATAATCTCATCGTCTTCATATACATTTTCTATATTAATTGTACTCTCGGGAAGCTCGTGTTCCTTATTCTTATAGGTCTCCATGACTACATATCTGGTTTCCATGTAGGGTTTAAACTCCTCTGTTGGTGCAACGCTTAAACGGTTATTTTTCTTTATAAGACTTAACACTTGGGTATTAATATAATGGCTTGATCCAGAGTCAAATAGATCTGAAGGCATATCTTGAATGGGCGTCTTTATTGGATAATCCATATCGAGGTGTCGCTGTGGGTATACGGTATGAATTCCAGTTAGTTCATGGGGCTTTAGATTATATGCGTTGAAAATGATTTCATTAAAAATGTCATCCAGCAAGTCGTTGTAAATTTCGTAAACGTTTCGCTCGGTCTCCTCCTTCCAACGTATTCCGGGTACCGATTGTCGAATGAGCTTTCGTATTATGGCATGGGCCTCGTACCAGGAGGTCTTCCGCGGACTTTCGCACTCACTATCCGTGGAGAACAAGTACAAATCGTTGTCAATCAAACGATCGATAAAATCGCTGGTCAAGGTATTGGCCACGTCGAACGGCTCCAGTTCTTCCCACACCCTTCCGAAGATAACATCTTCCACTATGTACTGGGCAATCAGATGTTTTTCGTGGCGCTTAAGCTCTGCATCCAGGTCCGGAGAAACCATGTCGCGCAGCATCACCCGCAAAGGAATATAGGTGAGGGGATTCTGGATCAGCTTAAAGCTCTCCAGCCAGCGGTCTATATCCACGTCTATTTGCTTGGCCAGCTCGGTGACCGTATCGGCGGCCTCCAGTCCGGCGATGCTATCCACATCGTCCGTCAGAATGGAGCTGATATACTTATCTGTGACGTTGTTGCTAATCCTAACCGAATTTTGGTATATCTCCTCGTACAAAAATCGAAAGTTACTTTCTTTCTGCCTGAATCCAGCCTCAAGTGCCTCCCGTTGCTGGCGCTCCTTCTCCGCCAGCAAGTTGATGAAGTGTAGTTTCCGAAGCTGCTGCAACCTTATTGTTTCCTCCCAGAGGAACTGCATGCAAAGGCCAATTGCAGTGCCTTCGTAGCTGCTAATCATATTGTGCATGGCCTCGGAAGCTTGGTCCTGCACCAAATTATAAGCGTTGTGTTCGAAAAAGGGCCTCATTCTTGAGGATCTCGCCTTTGGAACTTTATATGATTGCCTAACGACTTCATCATGTCTGCCATAAATGTTTTTGTACATCTTATAGTCCACAAATGATGCTTTTTCTTCTTCTGCATAGTGGAACTTTACTTTGCGGCACTTGGGCGCTGTGACTTCGGCTTCACCGGCTTGTCTTAAGTATTTTAACGAATTGTAAAGACTCTGCAGAGTCTGCTCATTGCAAATGTTCCTCTCAGCTTCTGCAAGATATTGCTTAGGCTTGGACATTAGATTGAGTTTTTGGAATGGACACTTCAGGCTTCGAGCGATCACTCGTTTCTCCAGTTCGTCGATTCGCAAGTCGAAGGTTCGTTGACCCGTTTTCGAGCTGAACTGCCGACGTGCTGGATCCACCCCGTATCTCATTTGCGGGCCGTAGAAATCGGAGTACGGCAATCCCAGGGCTTCCATGGGTGTCTCCTTCTTCCACTTCCTTTGCTTCTCGTAATTCAAGCGACGGATGCCCCGCTGGTAGGCGATTTCATTCTTGCGCAAAGCTTCCTGGCGCCGTTTCTCAATACGCTGACAGGCCATTTCGATTCGAGCCTTGGAGGCGGCGTGGATCTCCCTCTCACGCTTATCAAACATCTTTATCAGGATCTGGAGACGCATCATCTGGCACTCTTGTATGTACTCCTCCCGCTGTATCCAATGCTCCCATTCAAAGGCCTCTACCGCGGACTTGTATTTTTCCAACCTTAGATTATTCTCAGAGATTTGTAACCTCTTTCGATTGATCTTCACAGCCTCGTAAAAGGACCATCGCCTGCGGGAACGCTCGAAGACCTCGACCTCATACAGACCCGGTGGTTTATCTCCAGGCAATATAGAGGGCAGTATAAAAAGCTCTCTGGGATTTGTTTCTGTGGCATAGGGTTCTGGTAAATAGGCCAACGTCTGCGCCGAGGATTCCCTAGGTATGCGAAATATTAGCTACATTTTTGGGAAGAATCCGAAGGCACTGCAAATCGTAGGACGCTAAAAGTTATCTTACCTATATAGTGTCTGTGTAATTTGATCCTTAAAGGGCGCGGGTGCGTCAACATATTTGGGAAAGAAGTTACATTTATTCTTCAGCTCCTTGCGAATCGGTTTTGAAGGTTCCAAAACTAGAACTTGTTTGGCCAAATTGGAGCTTCTTTCTGCAAGGAACTTGAGACCAGGGGCTTGAAACTGACATTCGCTGTCTGTTCGAGGCAGTTTTTCCGGCGGTTTTCGTACAGCCGGATTATTCTCCCCTGAAAACATAAGGGGCAAATATTAAATGTAAATATTATATTCCACCAGGTTAACTCACCGGCAGCCAATCGTAAATCCATGGAGGGTGTTGTAATCAAACATGACGTTAGGTCTGTCTTCTTGGGACTTGCTTTGGACTTAGGAGGAGGTACTTTTGGTCGCGTTTCTATGACTTTGGTTGCTTTCTTTACAGGAGTAGGAATAGCATTAGTATCTTTGGACCCTCGGTTCTCCAGAATGAATTTCAAAATTCGCTCTTTCCTCTCCTCCTTGGCTGAAGTTTTCGTTTGTTTCTCACATTTTCCCATGGTAAGATTTCTGTATTTCAGTTATGTTGTAATTCATGTGAAATTTAAAATTGTTTGAGTATGCTTTCGGCCTACTTTATTACGAATAGAAAAGAAATGTGTTAATCAATTATTTCTTTTTAATTATTATTTTAACGCAACTAAATGGTTATTTTGGTATCCAATTATGATTAATATATTTTTCGTCGTTTTCTTTTTTTTTTATTAAAAACATTACCCTAATGGCTTTTAGCTCATCAATATCAATTTAAGGCAGTGAAATGGTCAACATTTAACCAGCAAAATCCTGAAATCTCGCAGGAATATATACAAATGACCTTAAATGGGTTCTCTTCCTTTTTGAACCCACCACCCACATCCTCGGCGGCACGTTAATCATTTATTATCCGACATGTCTGTGATTATTTAGCTTTTTGTCTTGGCTCGGCGGCCATATTTCATTTTCTTCTCAAGCTTTAAATTTTTTAAGTCATTGAAGATGCTTCTTGTGAACTTCCCGGACTCCTGCTAACTAATTTTGTGTAATAATTTATGAGTAAAGTTTACTCCGCACTGTTTTTAGGGGAATTGGGGTGGTGGTGGCTCTGTTGCGAAATGCTTTTCGATAAGAAGTGTTTTTGACGATTAAGCGCAACACTCGAGCAAGTTGTGGGGCGTAAATTGTTGTTTTTCATTGCCAGCTCGAGGGTCTTAAACATTAAGAGTTCTTTTGTGGGCAATTTAATTCCGTCCTGGTTGTTGTTGTGGGCCAAAGTTTTCTCACAAAGCCAACACAGAACAAAGACAGGAGCGGTTTTCGGGGTCGGTCTTGAAAACTTGACCCATTTTGACAGCTTCACAGATTGCCAACTTTTAATTGGCATCAATTTTTATCAACTCCGGAAGCGCACTTCTCAACGGCCCCCGATTGAGGAGGACTCATGTTCGTGCTTAGCAGGCACATTAATTATAGCCTAAAGGCTCCATCTCCCCTCCAGCACACTTTCCCATTAATTACCTTTGCTAAGCATTTTCCCCATTTATCAGACTCGACGCCATCCCGATTGCTCCTGGTTCCGCTGCCTGGTATAGGGTATGGCAATGGGTTCACAGGGCTTTCCTGCTGCCTGCGTGACCCCATCAAAAATAATGATGCTAATTAGGCAACAACGTTTTCGTCGAATGTTTAAACCGATTAGAGCGAGTGCCAAAATCTACCCCAGGCAATCCTAGGAAATCTGAGTCCTTGAAGGTATTTTTCTTACAATGTTAAACGGCTTGGCAAAAAAATATTCTAGCAACCGTAAACTTTTCCTTGCAGTTATTTTCGGTAATCTATTGTAAAATTAAGTATCAATTCCTAAATTTCATTTTTTAAATTGTTTTAATAAATAATATTAATATAAATAGAAAGCTTTTATTTCTGTGTGGGAATATGAAATAATTTATGCTATTTTAATAATTTTGACGGTCAGAGTGTTGCGAAAAATCTAATTCAGGATAAAAGGTTACAAAGAAACGGTTTAAGGTAATTGTATGGTTTATAAAAATAAATATGTTTTGTATAAACAATTTCGGTAGTACCAATAAATAAAAATCTAAATTTAATCTATCAGTTCGAAATGAGTATACATTTTATATCCCCTAAAATAAATTTGATTTATCCGCCACAGTCTACCAAAGAGCTGAAAATGATCGATGTATCGATAATAATTTCTTCCATCTCTAGGCTACTAACATGTGTTGTTAAATTTTACGACAGCGACTGTTGTCAAACAACAAAGTTAGTTGAGTTTACCGACATTTCGTTTTCGTTTTCCGTACGCAGTTAGTGGTGTTTGGCATTTGCGAGAGGCAACAGCAAGATGTCCGAAGGGGAACTAAAAGAGTTGCTAACCAGCTGGGGATTTGAACATATATTTCCACTTTTATCAGGTAAGTACATATGCACAGATGTTCATATATATATGCATGTGATTTTTTTGATTTTCGCTAAAATTATTTTATTTTCAATTAGTTTAATTTAAAGTTTAAAGCATACAGAAAAAGTTGTGTGCCTTCTCACAAATATAGAGCGAGCTTGCTTTCTCTCGCGCTCTTTGGCTCTCACTCTCTGCCTGGCAGTACTGCTACTGTTGTTTACTGCCTTTTGTTGTTGCGTGGTATTTTATCTCGCTCTAGCGCTGTGGCTGCCTGCTTTAACATTCTCATATACACATTTGTAGATAGTATATTTACTCTCTGAGCAGTAGGAAAAACTGGGTAGGTTCAACAGCACAAAAAATAACAGTCAAGATGACATTTTATGTTATTTTTGTATATATTTATTTTTTTATTTTTTAACTATAATAAAATTGTCTTCTATGACTGCAATGTAGCAACTTTTAAAATTAATCATTATAACATATTTTTTTGTAAGTTTTAATGATTAATTTTAATTTAAAATTGTTTACCGAATTTATTAAATTTTTTTTCAGCTGAGGATATTACCTTGAGAAGATTGCGATTCTTAACCGAAAGCGACCTGACTTATCTCTTTCGTCATTTCAAATTAGGCGAAAAAATTGAATTTAGATTTCATTTACTTGAGTGGAAGCGCAATGAAGTAAGGAAGAGAGCTCCTTGTGATTTGTAATATAAATATAATATATTTTTAAATATTTAGGGCTTGAATACCCCGGATAAAACTAGCATCCAACTTGAAAGGGACTTGGATGAAAATGATTTTGAGGTCCCACAACCGAGTACGTCCTCGTCAACTTCAAACACTTCCTTTGTAAACCAAAATCAGAGTTTTATTGTAAGTATTTTACCAATCACCCTTATTTTGAACTTGTTTAATAATTACAATTATTTTGACTTCCAAATTATTATTTAGGACCTTTTACTTGCGCTACAAGACCATCCAGCTGGCGACTATGTCAAGCGAACCATAGACGAAAAAAATAGTTTGAATGATACGTCAAGAAAAATCTTAATTGAAGCTATTGTTACATATATGGTTAAAAATAAGATAAAGCCTGGTAAAGCGGATTTCGATAGGATTTCCCATGACATAGAGAGAGAATTCAATGACGACAAGGTATATTTAAGCTTTATTTCATTATTAACATTTTTAATTAATCAATGAATGGTTTTAGAAAATCTATTATAATTGTGTTGGACAAAGGCCAAGCGGAAGACTCTATGATAAGTATTACAACACACTGAAAAAGCTTAAGAAATACGGAGAAGTATTCGATTCTTCTTCTTCGGGAAAAGGCCCGGACAGCACAGAACAAAAAATTTCAAATGAAAAAGGTATATACTTGCTTGCAAGACAAATTGAATAAATGTTTAATAGTTTTTAATAGCTGCTCAGGCTCAGAAATGGCTGAAATCTAATGACGAACCTTGGTCTGTGGTCGAGGAGAAATGGCGCCTGTGCTATAAATTGCGTAGGGACGATATAGTCAACACGGATGGTCGCAAGTTCTCCATTTCATGGCTCTTAAGTCAGTGGAGCTTATATTCCCATATTCTGGGACATTTATTGGTAAGATAACATGATAATGAAATATCTTTATTTTGATATTTAATCATTTGTTTTAGGTTGAGATAGACTTTCTGATTTTATATCCCGAGTGCCCGCCACTAATGAGTAAATGGGATTCATTTCGAGAGAAAATCACGCCCATATTGAACCAAAGATTAACAGACTCTGTTTATCTAAGTTATTTGGAGGAAATTAACGCCCACACTGAAGGTTTGTAAACACAATACAAATTACAATATGTCAAAAATATATACAAATATCCCTCTTGAATAGGTTCCGACCAAACCTTGGCACTGTTACTTCATGTCCTCCTGCTGTCAATGCGAAAATCCAATGTCAAGACCACGGTTAAGGACTCGCAATCTTCATTTATCATACAAGCCACGTCATACTGCAAAGCAGAAAAGCAATTAGAAACCCTAAAAACTAAGATATACAACAGTGGAGAGACTCAAAAGCCTATTATAGTTGCTATAGGGGGAAATTTTGATTGCACCAAGTTCTATGTGTATTTCTATGACATTAAATATTCTGCGCCTGATTTCCTCACTGCATTCGATATTAGCTTTAAGATTTTTCATGTATTAGATCTTAAATATCCTGTCGAAAGTTTTGAATTTTGGATGTTTGTACAGAAATACTTTTATGGCATTCATTTGGACACTGACAAGGTACCGCCCAACATTTTATGTTTAATTAGTGACTTAAAGTAAAATTGTTTGAATAAGTTTTCAGTTGGATATAACATTATCTTTACTTAATAATTAAGTAACTGTTTAGATTAACTGAAGACTTAATCATAAATATATACCTTTGATTTACTTTACCAAATACAATAATGTAAAATAAAAATAAAAACAAAAAACTGTATTTTATGGGTTTATCAATTAAATACTTTCGTGTAATTCAAATTAAAGCTCTTTCCTTAGCCATCTCCCTTTGTGCTGTTCTCGGAATGCTGAGGAGCTTTTCTATTTTCATTTTCCAAATAATGCGTATTTATGAGTAAACAATGAAATTATATTTACTTTTGCTTTGTCAATATTTGCATGCAATTAATTTCCCAAGCTCCGGAAGAGCCAGCCAGCATAACCATGACGAGCGGTGAAAAATCAAAACCAAACGAAGCGTGGAGCGAGGGCAGAGTGCCGTAACGTGTGCAGGGGAGCTGGAGCCGTACTTTCCCGGATCCGGATCGGAAAAAACCATCCCCCCCAGCCCACAGTACTTTTTGGGCGTTCAGTTTGGGTTTCGGATGTGGGGTCTGAGTCCGGGTCCGGGTCCGGGTTTGCCGCAATTTACTTTAAAAGTATTGCTAACGAAGGAATCGAAGACGAGTGGCTTGCTCTTTGTTGCCACTGTTATTATTGTATCTGACGCTGATGATGGGCGATGATAACAAGATGCTCCGCCGAAGTTTGCCAAGCTCCTGGCGTTTCCTTTTGGCGCATCGCATCGTATCCTTTGTGGCCGGGTTCCAGAAAAGTTCTGGCTAATGCCAGCCACATTTTGCCTGCCTTCCCTTGAAAACTTCGTTTGCATGCTTAGGACTTTTTTAATTAAATCTTCGAGCAGAAGACAAATAGAATTGGCCAAAGTGCGGCCGAATATTGGGAAGCGTCGGCAAAACCAGCCAACCACCGACCAATCTCCTTCCCAAAAATGGAGTCATTAAACTACATCCAACTCGTTTCGTTTAATGGCCGGCCCGTTTAAATTTTCAGGCCTCGCCGAGAATAACAACATGAAAAGGGATCTCTGCCCTCGCTTGGCTTGATTTTATGTTATCAAAAATATTTTCAGGCACTTAAATTAATTTATAGCTCAGCGAACTGCCCCTTAAACAGCTAAATATCATTGTATTCCCTCAGGGTGTGGGTGGTGCTTATATAAGGTTTTGATCAGGAGCGGAACAAAGGGAACTAAAAATTTAATCAAATTTGCTTTGGAATTTCCGAGCCAAGCGAAAGATAATTATATGTTTATTAGGACCCTACAGCATATTGATTGGAATTTTCATTTTCTTGCTCGTTTTCTTCAATTTAAGCTGGGTTTTGGCTGGGTTTCTTTTGTCATTTAGTTACTTTTGCGAACTACGCCCCTGTTTTTGGTTAAATTAATGTTCTAAGCGCAAAAAATTGTAAATCAATATTTATTGTAATGTGCATTGCTTGTATTAATGCTCTAAAGTTAGAGGATACTTTCATTTTGTAAGGTAGTTTGATTGATTAATAATTATTCTTGCATATTTCTTTAAACTTCTTTTTCCATGTCTTAATTCAGTGGTAAAATTTACTGGGGAGTTTTTTTTTGTGGTGAAAACGAAAAAGTTTTAAAAACAACCTGCTACTTCTTCAGGCAAAACCTTGATTTAACTAAAAGTTTAAATATGTAAATCAGTAATCAAAGGTATTAACATTAATTCCATGGTAAATATAGATATAAATATAATTTTCTATAGTTTTACTTTGAGGCTTACAAATTTTGTATAATACTTCCTCAAGCCCTTTTCATTATTTTCAGGGTATACAATTTCCAGCTAAAGTTTGAGTTACTTTTTCTTTCTATTCCCCTCTGTTGTGGTTTTTCTGGCATTTTCCCTTTGTGTTTTGCCTTGCCTTTCGCGCTTATGTCGTAAAATTTATGACACGAAATGTTTTTGGGTTTTGGCATTACTTTCGGACGGTTTATCTGCGGCCGTGTAGCACTCAGCAAGGTAGGCGGCTCGTTAGGCGTGGCATGTGGTTTTTCCGGCCAGTCCTGCCTTCCTCTTTCGCCTCCTTGTCGCCTTGATGCTCTCGATATGGGACAAGCATAAAAAACAGCGACCATATTTATTTATATATATAAGCGTACATATATATAAACATTTTTAGATTTATGCACAGAAATTTGCATTTTTTTATGCTTCTGCTGTGAATTGTGTGTTGAGTTAGGAAGGGATTGGGTTGTGCGGATTTCCATAGATTCAATGGCGGAGCGAGGGCGCCATTTATCAACTACTTCGCTTCGGAGGCAACTTTTCGGGGCCCAACATAAAATTGCACTTATGCAGGACCGGCGGAGCAACCAATCTAACCATAACCAACCAGCCATAACCAAAGCCCAGCCAAGTGCATGTGGGTTGGCATCCTTAATCCCAACCCATCCCAGTCCCCTTTGGTATCACGGAGAAACTATTCTCGCATTCGGAGCGCACATCTTGAGTTTGTTGAATGCCCGGTTCGCTGGGTGTCTGTGTCGGTGGTATCGGTATGTTTTTTGCCAGAGAGAGTGTATGTAGTTTTTAGCCACGTCCCACGTCCCACATCCCACACAGCTCCTCAGCTCAACTCCCATCCCCGGATGGCTGGAAACCGCATAAATTGCTTTAGCACCAAAGGGATTTGTGTTGAAATCAGACCAAAACAGCCAGCTCAAAGACAAGAGGACTTCACTCCGTTTATCCCGGGGTGTCTAGAAGAAAAAGAGGAAGTCTATACGGATTTTTGATGGAGCAGAGATATTCCTTCCCTAGGGTTTGAGTGAGTTAAGAGTTGATATATCATACATAATAGTAAATAAAGAAAGTTTTGGATTTAATAAATGCTTTGGTAAAATCTGATAAATGTACAAAATCAACTTTCTGAGCAGAGAAAGACCTTATAATATAAGAATTGCACAAATCTTGATGCACAAGATGCTACTTTTGTTCTATAGAAAATATATCTAAGACTAAGTTGCCTTTTACTTTTATAAATAAATATATTAAGCTAATATAAAACTTAAAGTTTTGATTTTAGGCCAATTTATTATTTAATAAATATTATATTGCTATAATTAAATTATATTGATATGCATATTAGTTTTTTCTAAGGTTTTTCTTCCCAAGAAGAAAGAGACTATGATTTAAGCCAAGTATTAAAATACATTACCTGGACTCCTCTTATCTTGTTAACCTTTCAAAACCTGAACCTAAAGTGAAAACATAAACATTCCCTTTAATTTGCCAACTCATCCAAGTTCATTAGAAATGTATGAGACCCCAGTTAATGACATCGACAAAAAAGGGAATACAAGCCAGAGTTTCGCCTTACTTTCAAGCATTTCTGTTGCTGCTCCAGCCTGAAAGTTTTTCTACTTCAATGAGCGGGGGGCACCAGGCACACACATATATACAGCAACACCACATATCCTGGCATATGTGTTTTCAGGACACATAAACATATATGTACACAGAAGTGTATATAGCGGGAGGGACTTGTGGGTGTATATGCTGTGGCCATATTACGCTCTAGCAAATCAGCTTACAACTTAAATTGAGGCACTTTCGTTTAGCTTCACTTTGCATGGTCGCTCCTATTGCCGAATATCCTTGAGTGGTTTTGGAGGCCTTTCCAAGGAGCAGGCGAAATACGGAATTACCGGGGGGAGGGTAGAAAGGAAAGGGACTGCCCGCAGGATGCGGAGTTGAAAGGAAGCAAACAAACCGCCGTCGGTGGCACAATTTAGTTCCTCAGGGAAATGCTAAAGTTTTCCCCAGTTGTTGTTGCATTATTTCTGTTTTTTTTTTTCATTCCTTTTTAGGCGGGGAGAACTTTTCACTTGCTCTATTTACCAGGATATTCCTTCTCGCGTGTGCGTGTGTGTAAAAGTATTAGAAATAAATCAAGGGATTTTTGGGATTTCGGCTTTTTGCTTCGCTTCGTTACGTTTCGATTCGTTCATTGCTTTTCCTTTGCCTCTTTCCAGGGCTTTTCCTGTGTGTGAGGTTGTGTGTGGCGGCGGCTTAGCTCAGGTTTCTCCCAGCGGGGTATTAGTTTGGAAAATTGTTTAGTCTGCCGCAGGCCTAAGCAACAACTTGTTGTGGTTTTTGTTGCGGTCAAAGCTGTTGTACAAATACAATGCAATTACAGGCACATTTCTATTTAAGAAAAGTTTTATTTTTCAAAATAAGCGGATAATTTTAGGTTCATAAATTGAAAATCAGAAAAATTATGTTAAACATGTGTGAATAGGGTTTTAATTTGTTTAAACTTTAATTCTTTAGCTAAATTTTACATAAATCGAGACTCAAATAACATATATTTTAATCTTAAAACACATAAAGAAGCAGCAGGAAAAATTCAACCATACTTTTACTATTTTAATAACGACAATTACATCAGTAATTTCATGTTATTATTATACCTAAAGCAACCTGCTTTGAGGAGCGACGATGCATTATACTAATTACAAGATTTGCCCAAGCAGAGAAAGAGCCAAGGCTGGCAGTATCAATGTGGATTCATTTGACCCAAAACGAATCTGATTTCGGTGCTAAGTGTTAATTAATGCAACATTCGCTGCGAGCCCTGCTCCTGGCTAATCAACCGAGAAGCAAACAGAACCGAACAGATCCTGCTATGCTGTGCATTATTGATAATTTGCTGTGTGCCAAGCCATGTTTAATTAGCGAGTGTGGGGAATGTAATGACGGGACATGTCTTTGATGTTTCGCTGAAGAGATGGCGAGTATGTCCTTTGGCAAATGTGGTTAATTAAATGTACTCGCATATTAGCGGGAGTATTTGAAGCATTTTCCTGGAATCCTGGCTCCTTGCTGGGTCATTCGCTGTAAGTGAACAGGAAAATTACTTTTACGATTCATTCGAACAACAAGCAAATGTGTCAGTTCCGAGTAAAATATAAAATTAACATTTTATGAAATGAATGAAAAACAATTTCATTTCAAAGAAAATAATTGCAGAGGACACATTTTGTGGGCCTTCAAGTGGAAAATTCGCAGCCAAAGAGTTTAAATGAAAATTGTGCAAATTTCACAATGGATTTCTGACAGCCCTTATTCGCCTCCGCCCCCGCATCCAATTATGATTGCTTGCCCAAGGGCG